CTCTCTCTCTCTCTCGTGCATAGTTAAGCTGGTTATTAATATATATAAAAAAGCCAATCTCTATTAGCTAAGTGTTTTCATGGATCCCATCTTTCCTTATGGGACATCAAATTTAAAACTAACACTTTCTTCTAGAAACCCTCATTAATATTACAATTTTGTTCAAGACACATCAAACTTGTAATTAGGGATGGTTTCGCCATCAATCTTCTCTGAGTCTCATCAGTCAATGAGAAATGGTAATGTGAAATCTTGGACTTATATACTTTCCACTCTCTCCATTATCCTCCAAATCCTCTCCTCAACTTGATTATCAACTCATGCTTGGAATCCTCATGATATTTACCTTTATTTTAATGACCTCTTGATACTTTATGGGTCGGATAAGCCCCTCTGAAAAGAATTGAATAAACCACCATTTTCTATGATTTAAGAGGAATATATTGTTGGGAACACTCTTATGGTTTCAGTTGATTATATTTGGCACAAAAAATATGCTATATTATTTTTCATATATTCATGGATTGTTGTCTAATGAGACTTAATATAGATGATGATATCATTAAAATATATATTCCCTACAACTTTTATAACTACACATGCAACACTGATAAAGACATAATTAATCATCTTTTCTTTAGCTGCTCTTTCTTCAATGCCATGCTTTTGTGTTGGCACCCTTGGACAACCAGTTCCTTTCTTAGTCTACCCATTCACTAAATTATAGATCATATTGCTATGAAAAGCATTCCTAAGATGGAAAAAAGATTCTTTTATTTTTCTATTCACTATAGAAGTTGCTATATTAAGAAAGAAATGATTACAAGAAAAATTGAGAATTATTTTAACATAAATTTATTATTTCTACACTACATTAAAACAATAATTCATGCAAAATTTTGGACCTAGAAGAGAAACCAACCGTGGAAAGATATTTTCAAAGAATAATTAACATACCTTAACCAATCCATTGCTTTCTCTTTTGTGACATTGGATGGCACTATCCTCTAAACCTGCAGCCTATCATCTCTTTCCTGTTTGATATGTCGTACAGTTTTGAGTACTATGATGGAATCTCTTTTCCTATGTGTACCTCTAAAGCTCCGAATTGAGCAATTTCTCATTGCAGGACTCTGTTGTTTTGTCATTTATGTTGTGTAATACAATACTTTGATATACTTTGCTAGTTTTTGGTTAAGTTCCTCTTAATAAGGGCTTTCATTCCTTACTTAACTTCCTTATAGACTAGTGTCTCCCTAATGAAAAAATAATTTACTGATATTCTGTCGTTGGTTGGCTGCTTAATGAAATTTATTCTTTTATGTCAAACTGAGCATTTAGCTATGTTCTGTCAATGTTGGACTCTTTTTGTTACATTTAGTTTTTGCTACTGTGCTTCACTATTATCCTTTACAAATTTATTTTTTCAAATAATACTTACTTGCACTATAATGAAAACCTCTGCTCATACAACCTGTAATAATCCTTTGGCTATTTTTAGGACAATGAGGTCATCATTTATTCTTAAATGCTACATTGATTGTTGTGGCTATGACTTGTTTATTTTCTTGGAGAATATTTTGAATTCTTAAACTCTGTAAGGACATAGTATTTTGATTGTTTTCTTTTGGAGGGTGATGATGATTATTGTCTTTTGAGAAGTAATTGTGTCGGGAATTATGCTATGACCCTCTTGCATTTGTTTGTTCATCTAACATCTTGTTTTGGCAGTTTCGTTCACTTGCCACCAAACCTCCACTATGTTGATATCACTCATATTGAAACTTTTTATGGCCGATTTTCTTTTCTTTTTCTGAAATATTCAGTATGCTTCTTCATGTTATTGACATTCTTCATATGCCTATGCTTCTTCGTTATGATATATTAGTGGATGGTGCGCAATTACTAGTAACTTATTTTTTATTTTTACAAAACTGTTGGTCTCTTTCGGTTCACATGTTTTGCTTGATCTTTTTATTACTCAGATGTGTCACATCTTCCTAACGACTATGATGCTTCTATGATGTTCACTATTTATTTTTGGACATGAGCATGTCTATTATAGTTTGTTATTTGGTTATGCTTCCCATGCTTAATATTGTATATCAAAAAAATGTCAGCACGAATAAAAGTTACACAAATTTATTGTTCATTACATTTCTATTACTCTGCTCTCTCTTTTCGATCCTTCTACTCTTTATTCCATATGCAGGTCTCCCGAATAAATTTGAATTTAACATATATGCAAATTTGATTTCTTACTTTTATTATTTGTGACTTTACAATCTTTTGTAATCCTTTATTTTTAGTTAGAATACTTTTTGTTCAGTTGTTCAATTCCCCTAAAAAAATTCAAATAAAAAAATTTATTTCTAAAAAAGTTAGACTAATTTGCAACTTTCGGAAGTAAAAATCTTTTTTCAACGGTTCGCGTGTAGCAGCTGGTCTTTGGGGTGCGGGCTCATGTGCCTTTCCAATCCTCTATTGGCTGGTTTGACTACAGATCCCGCGCCGATGTGCCTGATATTTCCCGCAATAGTCCCATATTTTTTTTACTTTTGTACAAGCTTTATATTTCTGCAATGTCTGCAAGGTTTTATTTGTCGATCTTCCCGATCTTTGACCTGTATCGCCATCTTGCTTTTCGCTGGTGCAAGCATTCTCTTTGGAGACTGAAAGATAAATACTTATGTCGGGCAAGGAAAGAAGAATCGTGGGTGCGAGCGCCGGCTGGAAACGGCTGCACCAATCTTTTCTTCTCTCATGCTTTTTCAGATGGCGCCTGCTCTGCTTCTTTAGCCCTAAGGTTCTTGATTCGAAGCCTCTTTTCTTGTATTATTTTATAACAGAGAAGCCTTCTGCTATGATTGTGGTGAATTAGGAATCTGCATTGCAGGCCGGATGGTTCTTATTGCCTTTTGGGTTTGTAGCGATCACTGCGGGTCTTTACTCTGCTCTGCAGAAAGTCGGGAATGACGATACTTTGCCCACAGTTACAATCTTCGCCGCGCCGCGCTCGTTTTCGTATTATGGAGGACTGCCTGATTTGGCGGGAGGGCGGCAAGAGGTCGCGGTGCGTTCGTGGCTGGCTCTGGCACCGGAGGTCTCTGTCGTCCTCTTTGGGAAGGACTCTTCTGTATTTGATCTAGCTAGAATTCTGGGACCGAGAGTTACTGTTGATTCTGAGATCGATTTCACGTAGGTATCTACTTTGCCCATGATTTTTCATCTTTTCGTTTTGGTTTTGGAGGGTTTGGTCAATCTTGACAATTATTACTCGTGCATTTACATACATATTACATAATTTGTATTAATTATTACTCATTGCATTTATATACATCCACATAATTTTTATGTTTTTTACAAATTTTAGGCCTAAATATTTATGCATACCACTTAAATTTTTAACATCCCATCAAAAACGTCATATCTCTACCCTTTTTTTTCTAAGTAAATACACCTTTTCTGTGCATAGCTTTACGACACCATTATTTTATAAATGTAAAAATCAAACTTTCGGTGTTAGATTTGTAAATACACAATCATTTAGTTTTGAGGAACTTTAAAATTAAAGGTATATGTTAATTAAAGTTAAAGATTGATTTTTTATTTTAGAATTAATAATTAAATAAATTAAGATTGAAGAACATTTGAATCTATGAGATTGGAGATAGACAATCAGGGAGACAAGTAAGTAAGATTAACATGAGTAATTAAATTTCTAAATTTCAGTAATTTTTTATTTTTTTTAAATGTATTTTGATTTCATTTATGTTTATGTCAGTTAGATTTAGATTATAACAGATTATTCATGTTGTTAGATAGGAAAGTATGCATGCTAAATAATTGCATAATTAATTTCTTATAAAATTATTAGGTTATTGAATAACAAT